GATGTCTCAATGGTTAAGAGATTTGCCTCTGAATGGTTAAGACCTTTTATCTGAATTGATCAGACATTTGCCTCTGAATAGTTAACCAATATACTAGCTCTTAATGGTTCAGACCTCTTACTGGTTCAGCACTTAATGGTTCAGACCTCTTACTGGTTCAGCACTTACCTATTCAGAAGTTGCCAAACAGCCCCTTGAATGAATATTGTAATGTTATATGAGGATTGTGTATGTAGAAAGTATGTTCTTGAATGTTGTACTTGTTGCATTTATATTATATTGTTTATGCTTGTTTTATTTAAATTCTATTACTTAATTATATGTTAATTTTATTTGTATGGACTTCTCAGAATGAGTGACTTTTACGGAAATCGGGATTGGGTGTATAAAAGACTTGATAGTTTAGGCATTATAAATACAGATTAGGTTGAGAAGGTAAGACAATTTATTGAGTTTCGTGAGTCAAATCCAAAAGTGGATTGTAACACCCCGGCCGTAAGTGTCTGCTCATAGGATTGTAGAATGTCCCCCACAAACCAACACAAGTCTTTCTCACACCCTTTGTCCTCACTCGTGCACGGCCAAGGAGCTCCCCAGGCTGTCACCCATCATAAGATTGCTCCATGTCAAACACGCTTAACTTTAGAGTTTATTTTTAGGTGATGAGCTCTCAAAAAGAAGATTCATCTTGTTTGTATGAGTAGTACTATCAATCCTTTTGAACTATTTCATTTCCCAAACCAATTATTTTCAACTCAGGGTATTACACTCACCCCAATTAAGAATGCAACGTCCTTGTTTCATCCTTTTTAAGCTCCTATATCTTCCCTGCTATGTGAACTAAGCTCTTTTGGCTCGTCACTGTCGCAGCATTGCTTTGATACCATTTGTAACACCTTGACCCCAACCCTGGTAATAAAGTGTGTCCTCATATGAATGTAGACTGGCCCCACAAACCAACACAAGTCTTTCCCGCACACTTTTTGCTCACTTGTGCGGGCCCAAGGAGCTTCCTAGGGGGTCACCCATCCTAAGATTGCTCTAGGTCAAGCACGCTTAACTTTAGAGTTTCTAGGTGAAGAGATTTTGAAAAGAAGATGCATCTTGTTGGTATGAGTAGTACTATCAATCCTTTTGAGCCTTTTCTTTCCTCAAACCATTTATTTTCAAATTAGGGTATTACATGGATAGACTTAATAGGAAGATGCGTTGTCCTTATAAGATTTGTAAAAATAGATATTTTTCGAATATTGAGGACATTAAGCTTCATGTACTAAGACAAGACCTCAGTCCTAAATATCTTGATTGGGTTTGCTAGGGGGAGGAACATGGTGAGTATACGAGTCATCATCGGCACCTTAAATCTACTCGTACCCTTGTTGAAACCGATAAGGCTAAATACATGAATATGGTGATGGATGCTGCATGGTCTTCCTTTAATCTTAACGTTCAAGTTGACGAGGAACCAAGTGCTAATGAAAAAATATTGGCATGCTAAAAACCACAAATACCGAATTATCAAAAGGTTGTACTAAAATGTCCCAACTCTTGATGGTTTCAAGATTACTCAATATTTAGGCAGAGCACAATTTGTCTGGGAGGTGTTAAGACACTATTTGCCAACTGTTCAAAGAGAGATTTCCGGAAGACAATTCCACGGTTTCTGACTTTTATGAGACAAAAAACTCATTGAAGCTTTAGGACTTCCAGTGGAGAAAATTCATTGTTGTGTCCAAGGTTGCATGCTTTTTCTGGGGCCTAGATGTTGAGCTAACTGCATGTAAAATTTGTGAAAACCCTCATTACAAAGACTCCATAAAAAAGTTACCAAATATACACATGTTCTATTTTTCCCTAACGCCCTGATTGTACACATCAAAGAGATTATGTAACACCCTAATCCGTCCAGGTCTGCAGCCCATTCCGGAATAAAGTATTAACTAGGTAATCGTAAAAACTTAAATCATTTCAAACATCTTTATTCATCATAAATAATATTCAATACATGGCTGTAGAAATACGAAGTTTTTAACAATGCGGAAGCAAATTTAAAACATGTCTCATGATAATCACAATCAATTATTTAAATCCACACATTCATCACGACCGTATCGCCCCATTTATCTCTAGGAGTTCATCACCTCACGACCCGAATTGTTGCCTTCGTACACTTGCCCGACCAGATGGATCCGGATTTCAATGCCGCGATGTTTTGGCAGGCTCATGGTCATTGACGGTTCTATAGTGGAGCAAGCCTAGCCAGAGACTGGGTGCGACCCTGATGGAGAATTCTGCATCATGCTTTGGTACTTTGGTCGTTGCGACGACCCAGAGTGGTATTTGAGTCTGATATGTTATTCTTCTAGAGCCTGGAGGCACGTGTGTCAGTGAATGTGGCAACTTTCTTTTCTCTGGCTGGTTTACTAGAACTTTAGCTTTCCTCGCTCGTTCATCATGAATTATTTTGATGGAAAAGAATTTCACCAGATGATCTAACCCAAAAAGGTGGATCAAACTATAGAATGAGAATAATAAGAAAAATACAGAGCTTGAGACCACGATGGATGATACAAGTATTGAATTCACTGTATTGAGCTTGAAAATAACAATGGCATATTGCCTCTATTTGTAGTTATAATATTTGAATCATACATGGGAAGTGCTAAAGATGGTAGTTCAACTTGGGCCTGGTCTTCCTCCGCCATTGACGCTAAGCCTAGCAATCTCGCTCCGTCTGCGATTAGACGCAGTCAATTACGAGAAAGGCAGGATTGCTTTGATTGATCATGTGACGAGCTGGCCCAAATAAAGACTTTTAGATTAATTCAGGTATAGATGGACTTCAAGACAAGAGTCGGGTCAGCGGAGTACTGGGCTTACACCTAAACTAAAGTTGCATGAGTATTGGGCTGGGCCTAAGCTGGTTCGCCCAATAGCCCATCATATCTAGCTCGTGAGTCTAACCCTATTGAAAAAATACAATTTATTTATTCATGACTTCTTGTTTGAATATTATTTTTTATATTCATTATTTACACACTATTCTTAATCCAACTTTTCTTTTTTCATTACTAAAATTATCTTTTAGAAATTTAATAAGCGAGACCTATATTTTAATTTGGCTTATGACAGTACTCCCTTTCCCTTGATCATAAAACCCTTTACATTTTCCATTTTTTGGACGTCTGTGGAAACTATAGGACGTTGAATCCCTTTGTTCCATTGATACAAAACAATATAAATATACATCGGTGATAAAAACGAAGAGTCCTCCCGGTGATACACACGAGGAGTCCAACCTAACTAGCTCAATGCAATGAATGTTGCTATTATACATAAAATACATGTCCTAACACTCCCCCTCAAGTTGGAGCATGAATATCGAAAATGCCCAACTTGGACAATAAACAGTGAAATAGAGGACCAGACAACGCTTTAGTGAAGATGTCCGCAGTTTGGAGACGCGTAGGAACATAAGCTGTGACAACATGATTTCGCTGGATGCACTCCCGAACAATATGACAATCAATATCAATGTGCTTCGAACGCTCATNTGCCCAATCTGAATCAGAAAAAGCAGTAAGAGCAAGATTACTATCACTACGCAAAAGAATACCTTGACCAGGATGTCCCTTGAGATACCGTAGGACACGAAGAGCCGCATTCCAATGGTCAAGACGCGGTGCCTGCATAAACTGAGAAAGTGTATGGACTGCATAACAAATATCAGGTCGAGTAATAGTCAAGTAAAGCAAACGGCCCACAAGACGACGGTACTTGAGCGGATCTCGAATCTCAGCACTATTGGAACGAGCCAAGGCATGATTGACTGGTAATGGAGTATCAACAGGCTTACAACCATCGAGATTAGCCTCGTGAATGATGTCAAGAGCATACTTCCGTTGATTAAGAACCATACCATCACGGGAACGAGCACACTCAATCCCCAAAAAATAAGAGACGGGGCCAAGGTCCTTAAGATGGAAACAGTCATCCAAATATTTCTTGAAAGAGGAACACAAGGAACTGTTGTTACCGGCCACAAGAATATCATCAACATAAACAAGGACAACCAACATGTCTGGGCCACGTCGTAGAACAAAGAGTGTATGATCTGCATTTGCTCCGATACCATGTGGAAACTATAGGACGTTGAATCCCTTTGTTCCATTGATACAAAACAATATAAATATACATCGGTGATAAAAACGAAGAGTCCTCCCGGTGATACAAACGAGGAGTCCAACCTAACTAGCTCAATGCAATGAATGTTGCTATTATACATAAAATACATGTCCTAACAACGTCCGACAAAGGAATTTAATATGGAGTATTTGTTTTATTTTCTATTTGGCAATAAATATGTGGCTCATAGTTTTTCTCTCTTCTAAATAAATTCTTACAGGACACTTTTTTCATACAAAAAAATACACACTTTTTATTTTCAAACAAATTTTTTAAACTTTGTTAAAATCAAATCGTAAAAGTTTTTAACTCTTTATACAATGGACTGCGGAGTGTATCATGAAAACTTAAAGTCTAACAAAGATTATAAATAATTATTCCGAGTGTTCAAATTTAATTTTCATATTTGATTTTTTCGTCAAAGTTTATAAATTTTGACCTTGATATGCAAGAAAAATATAATATATTTTGTTACAAACAAAATATCAATAATTTTCTTTTGGAACATGTCTTTGAAATATTTAAATTCAGCTTGTTTCATATGACATTTACTTTAAATGTCATAAAATAACCAGACTTTTATTTTATAGTACTTTATCCTTTAAAATTCACGTAGCATCAAGGGAGCGAAATACAAAGTAAGATCATTGACCCAGATTACTATAATCGGCCCGCATGCTGTTTTTTTTTATTTAAACAAAGAATGAATATGACGGACCCCATGGCGTTGAATTTGCAATTTCTGCCCCACCAACTCCTAGTGGCAATAATGCAATTATTACAAGTCCATTTCCTCCTCCCCTTCTTCTTCTCAGTCCGCATTTATATGCATCATCTTCCTCCCTCTCTCCCCACTCCACAGATTATCCTTCTGTCTATCTATCTTTAAATCTCCCCTCCGCTCAAGTTCGAATCCGTATCTCTCCCATTCTCATCCAATGTCCCCTATTCATTCCCCCCTATAATTTATTCTCTGCTCTGCTTTTAATTTCTTCCTCACCACCCATCACATCGATCTATCTCCAGAATTCCAGACCAGTTTTGATTATTTATTTAATTAATTAATCTGGATCTTCTCAAACCCCACCTTCTTCCTTAATCGCACCATTATAAAAACCTAATCAGCATGTAACTCTGATTAATCGCCTTTTTTTTTACTCCCCCCCCCCCCAAAAAAAACAAAAAAAAAACTGTTTAGTAATTAGTTGTGTTGTCGGTTTAATTCATCTGCTGAGGAAGAGGGACATGCCGGAATCTGAGGGCGGAACTCCGACGGCGTCGGCGCCGGCGACTCCGGGCACGCCGACTCCGCTATTCACCGCCCTCCGGGTGGATTCGCTGTCTTACGACCGGAAGTCGTCGATGCCCCGGTGCAAGTGCTTGCCTTTCGACGCCCCCACTTTTGGGACGCCTCACTCTTGTCTCCTCGCCGACTTCCCCGCCCCGGACGTCTCCCTCTCCCGTAAGGTAATTTTATTTTGGATTTTAATTTCAATATTCAGAGTCCCAAGAGCCTTGCTAATCCACAACACGGTCTTGTGTCAGTGTAGTATTAATAATTCTATCTACATAAAGCTCTAGTAACACTGGAAAACTGTGCCACTAGCGGTGTATAATAGTCACACATTTTATGGGAAGCTTACGGTAGAGTTGGGGTGGAAGTGCAAGGGTGGGAACATAACACCGGAGGTGTTTCAGAAAGCTAGTGGCACATGAGTGAACACAAATTTTGTATAGAATACAAAATTTTGTATAGAACACAAAATTTACAAAAAAGAGGCACAGTGTTCTCATATAATGGTTAGAAAAAGGAGTAGAATTTGAAATTTTATCAGGGGATGGCGGGAGTAACTACTCTTCCGTCTTGTTGATTAGAAAAAGGACCATGCTACACTTACACCAAAAAATGTAAACCATTTGTATACCATAGTTATGCACAAACATTTTGATGATTTACATCGACACAAGTATTGGTGCGTTAACAAAAATTTACACGGACACAAAGTGTTTGTGCGTTAACAAAAATTAATTTTACACCAACACAAAATGTTTGTACAACCCTGCGGGGTACAAATTGGGATATAAATGCTGGGGTACACATAGCTTAATCCTTAGAAAAATTAGCTTTCTTTTTCCATTTTTATTTCTTTTCTTTTTCGTTCTTTCCAATTCCTTTTAATTTCTTCTAACAATGACTTAGAAAAGTATTAATCTATGATTAATATAAAATAACATTATAGTCTCTATATTCAAAAATCTTTCCCAATTTGACTTGGCACGGACATTAAAAAAATTAAAAAGTATAAAGATTTTTGATGTGATAGAGTAAAGTAAATAGTATAAATAAAACTTAGGGGTACAATGATACATTCGTTCAAAGTTTTTTGTCAAAATAGGAAACAAGAAAGAAAATTTTAGATGACTCAAAAAAGAAAGTGAGAAAGAAATTAATGGACAGAAGAAGTATATATTCAAATTTATAATATATCACCTAAAACACGGATGATCATGAATTATTTTTTATCAAAAATTAATATTTTTACATATTTATTTTGATGATCATTTAATTGAGTATTTTTTAGCACTTTAATTTTTAGAACATTTTCTAACTTTTAATTTTTTCTAAGTCATTTTAGTTTCTTCTAATATTTCCAATTCTGAAATTTCAATTCCAAAGAATAGGGCCTTCATCCCTGTCCCTCTAAGATCTCTTCATTCTTACTTTTTACTCCGTATAATTTTAGGAAGAGTTAAAAAAAGCGAGTTTATCAAAATACTTTTATTAAATATGGGTGAAGACGTGAATTATATTAAATGAAGTAGGTGAAGTGTAATAAATAAAGTAACTTTGGATATTTATGATATTTTAAATATTAAAAAAATAATGAAAAGATTTATAGAAGACAATTGACAAGGGATAATGGAAATTTTTATAGTGGAAATTTTTCTTTACAAAGTATTATTCTAATTTATTGAGAAATTTTATTTTTTTGTGCTTTTTCATAAGCTATATGATAAAATAAAATATTATTATTATCATTTGTTTTGTTGAATTTTTGAAGTACGGAGTAGTTTTTAATATGTAATTTTTTTTTATTTTTATACCAATATTTAAATAAAATAGATTGAAAAAATTTAAGTTCTTTTTTGTTTCACACAACGTAAAGAAAGATATCTGTATACTCCTTATTTCGAGATATGAAGTTGGGGAATTGATGAAGTTATTAAGTTAACTAAACTGAAAGACCAGAGATTAGTAACCATGATTGAAAATAATTTGAAAGTGACATGCATATTGATTGCGGGATTATTTCAAAAAAGCAGCCTCTATTAATGGAAAATGAGAGCTATAAACCTATTGTATATGGTGTGGTTATTGGTAAATTATGGCCGGCGAAAAACACAGTGCCTTTCTCTATCTTTTTCCACATCACCCATATGCAATATAAACGGGGCCCTGTTTTTTTTTTTCTTTGGCCCGATTTTTGTCGATATCATGAATTTATATTCCCTATTCATCCCACAAACATATAAATTCAAACATATCATGAACTTATATTACCTATCATTTCAAACACAAACAATAATAAATTCTACTTATCCAAAATTAGAATTTTCTTATAAATTAATTTAGGTGATCATTTAATTGAGTGAAGTAATTTTCAATTCATTTTTTTCAAATTTTTTGTGTCAAAATTTAAAATAAATATAATATAATTAAAATAAATTCGATATTTTTAGTCTCTGTGAAATGAGTGATATTAAAAAATCACCTTAAATAAGAGTAAAACATAGAGAAAGTGCCAAAATAGGAGTTGTCTATTTTTATTTTCTAAATAGGAGTTTGCACTATGATAATGTTGCAATATATATTTGCATATTATTATACTCTTTAGTAATGTACATGGTTATGATTGGTAATATATATGCATTTTAACTTTTATTTCAACAATAAGAATAAGGAACTCTTGTTTTGATACTTTCCTCCGTCCTATAATGTTCTTTCCGGTTCATTTTACGAGGTTTGACCGATTTTATTTTCAATTCAATTTATTTGATTGTAGGTGTAAAATTAAAAAATAAAATTTATATATTTAAAAATTACATCAAAAGTTCTACAAAACAAGTGGTGACAAGATTATATTATTTTATCAAATACCTAATGAAAATAGGTAAAGAAAGTGATTAATGTTTGACCGGGTAAAAAGTTAGTGGGAAGAACATTTTAGGACGGAGGGAGTATATCTTTAATGTTTTTCTCCCTACTTTAGTATTTTTTCCAGTGATATTTTCTTTTGGTCCTAAAATATTTTTTTAACAAATCCATAGTTACTTATTCAGTATTTGTTAAAAATTAGTCATTTCTATTCAAGTTTTGTAAATTTTTTGATATAGTTTTTATATATATAAATTTTATTTTTAAAGTCCACAGTAATTTTTCAATAAATTGAATTGAAAATAACTTCAGTCAAATATCGTAAAACATAGCAGAAAGTTAGTTTTAGGACTTATGGAGTATTTTTTTTTACAAATGGTCTTCCCCTTGATTTGGAGTTAATGTGTTGAGATTTACTGGAATTGAAAACAAAATCTCTTTGGATTTAAAAAAATTAAGATAGATGAGAGATGAAATCACTAATTTTAGAAAGACCAAAAACATATTCAACAATAAACGGGGACCATATCCTTTATTCCATATTTCCAAAGTTAGAGGGACACCGGAAAGAGAATAAATGAATTATAACATTGCCTTATCGGGAGAGAATGGATGAACTGGAGGGAAGGTATCAACATAATCAAAATCAATATTTATGCAATGCTCATTATTTTTCATTGGTCCACAAGGGGAATGTGTTAGTTTTTCACTTTTCTTTGTTAGTTTTTTTATAGATCATAAATTTTTCCTCTCAAAAAAAGCCTAGGATAGAATGAGTTAGGCTAAAATAATTTTGGAATGACATCAAAGTTGACCACAATAGAATAAAAAAGGTTGAGCCTCAACTCCGATGGCTCCTTCAGACTCGTTCGGATGGTACGGTCTCAGTGAGAAGGTAAATTGGACTTAAATCGCAGATTGATGATAAAGAGTGCAACCTGCATTTGGTATTTACAGAACCAATATGTTTAGCATAATTATCTCTTAGTACAATTGGCAGAAATTGAACTCAAATTTTACTTCTTTGACATTTCTTGGCTTTGGGGTGTGATGGAATAGATCAAAATGGATCTCTAAACTGTCTGCGCTTCTTTAATTAATGAAGTAGTAGTTAGTCAAGCAATGCAATTTTCGACGTTGAGCTGGGGGTCTCTTTGAAAACAGCCTCTCTACTTTCGAGTAGGGGCAAAGTCTGCGTACACACACCCTCCCCAGACCTTACTCTTGTGGGATTTAACTGGGTTGTTGTTGTTGACATTTCTTATTTTTGTCAACTAAGCAATGGAATTGTTTGCACAGGGTATGAGACAAGTAGTGGTGTCAAATATCATTCCTCCGCCTAAATTGAATGGAATGAATATAAAATCAAATGAGTGAGTATTGAGTAATGTTGGTTGATTTTGAAATGTAGCGTGAACGATGTGACGATTCAATAGCTGTACATTTTTTAATTGGAAAACAATAATTGTGCCTTGGGCAAGACTAATTAGATAACAATGATTGTGCATATAATTGACAATACTAGAATAAATATATTTTTAATTAAAATTTATTTAAAAATCAATATAAAATTTAATATTAAAGTCATATACACAGTATGTAAAACCTATAAAAAAAATTCTACAAAATACGATTTTTTGGGAGTACAGATTTACTTGGGTAGGGAGGGCGAAATGACAAATAGTGAATTTTTGTAAAGAAAGATGTCATTGACTTTGTAAATAGTAAACACGGAGTATGATTTTTTTATGGATGAATACAGTACCATTTGAACAAAATTGGGGTGCACCAAAATGTATACCCCAAGTGAACCCCAAATCATTTTCACCATACAATTAAGTGTAGTTATAAAAAGAATAATGTATGGTTAGAATGTACAGTGTACAAATATGATACTCTCTCCGTCCTGTATTTGTCTACATTTGACTTTTGGAACTGTTAATCTAAGCACTTTGACTCATCAAATTCTCTCAATGTGTAAGCCTAAATATAATCATGTGTGATCTTGTTTGATTTGTCTTAACATATAGATTATTAATATATAATTTTTATAATTTTTTAATATACAAATTACAAGATAAAATGGATTAAAGAAGTGCATTGGATGGTGTGCCAAAATGTAAGTGGACAAATACAGGGGGACGGAGGGCGGATGATGGTACATTTATATTTAAAATTATAAATTAATACGGACTAAATTAATTAGATATATAGTACCCGTTAATCTTTATTAACTTTCTTTGTGTATTCCCATCAGTCATTTGGTTACATAACATAATCATATTATCTCTAGCTCAAAAATTCATATCATCTCATCTTAATTATGATCTTTTATATAGTTTTTAAATATGTAGATCATAATTTTAAATTTTACATTTATGATTTTAATAAATTGAATTTAAAAAATAATTTTAATTAACCATGTCAGACTAGGAAGAAAATTTTAAGACTACTCGGCATGTTTAATTTTTGAGCAATGCTAGGGGTACACCCCAAATGTACACCACCCCCTTCTCCACCACATATTTTTATTTGATTTTTATTTACTTATTTTTTAAATTTTTTTTGCCCTTTTTAGTAAACAAGAAGGGGGTGGGGGACATATGGGGTACACTTAATTTTTAGTATGATTCACTTAATTTCCTGTTTATTTTAACAGTTTTAAGAGGATATATGACTGTGACGGTCCCTTGCAATTGATTGTGTAGCTAGCGGCGGAGTTCGTGGGAACATTCATCCTCATATTCGCCGCCACAGCGGGACCCATAGTGAACCAGAAGTACAACGGCGTGGAGTCGCTGATCGGAAACGCCGCCTGTGCCGGGCTTGCCGTCATGATCGTCATCCTCTCCACCGGCCACATTTCCGGAGCTCATCTCAACCCGTCCCTCACCATCGCCTTCGCCACGCTCCGCCACTTCCCGTGGGCCCAGGTGCCCGCGTATATAGCGGCACAGGTGTCTGCGTCCATATGCGCCTCCTTCGCTCTCAAAGGCGTCTTCCACCCCTTCATGGCCGGCGGCGTCACCATCCCTTCTGTCGGCACCGCCCAGGCTTTCGCCCTCGAGTTCCTCATCACTTTTAATCTCCTTTTTGTCGTCACCGCCGTTGCTACTGATACTCGAGCGGTAAGTAGCTCTTTACAACATATTCCATTTATTCTTTGGTGATGATCAAGTGACAACGGGATTCAGTGTCATCCGATGACATTGGCTCTTGCAATGTTCTATTTAAAAAATTGATAGTTTTTACTCCTTTAGTCCTAGTTAGAGCATCTCTAACCATATCATTTTAACTTGCTAAAAGTTATAATATAACTAGTTAAACACTTTTGTTCTTCTCCAAAGGGCATGCTTTATTTTAGCAAGTTTGCCAAAAAATGAATTTGGTTTGCTAAATGTGACAAGTCTCTCAAAATTTAGCTAGCCAATACTTAAAAAATGAAATAACAAATAATGGTTGGAGAATGAAGCAAAAAAGTGCTTGTTATATCACTATTCACTTGCTATAATGTAAAAATAGCAAATCCATACAACAAGCATGGTTGGAGATGCTCTAAACACCTCACTCCGGCCTGACTCTGAAATTACCCTCACCCAGTCAATTGGACCATCCAAGTGTAGTTGACTTTGGGGTGGTCATTTTGACTAGGTGATGACGTTTTTGTTAGATTTAATCGTATTGTTTAATTCCTGGCCATAAATTAGTTAGTTTAGATTTGAATTTTAAAAATAAAAGGGACAGTTTTTGGGTAGTTATTTCTGGAAGTTATAGGTAGTTATTTCTAGAAGTTGTATTAGTTAGTAATAGATGTGTTGATTAGTACCAATAGTTGTGTTAGTTGCTGTCTATAAATACTCCAGAAACATAGAATTCATGTATGTAGTTCACAATAAAAAATCGGAACTCTATTCTGCATTTGATTTGTTCTTCCTATTATTTTCCAACAATTGGTATCGGAGCGTGTGCGATCAACGGAAAGAAAAGGGAGATCTGCCTTGACAACAGATCAAAATCTTCGACAAGATTCTTCCTCGCCTAGGACAAGAATAGCAAGTGGCTAGTTTTTCCTTTGGTAGAAGCATTCCAACCAAACAGTGCGTGAAAAACGAATCAGCGGGGTAGCTTTCGTTTAGTGGCTTGGAAGACAGAAAAGAAGGGGCTTGTTTTCTGGTTGGTGGTTGATTGCAGGTGGCTTACAACCCGGGAAGGAATCGAAGTTAAGAATTTTGTGAAAATTGTCAAAGGAATTAAAGTCGTGCAATGGAAGATAATAGACAGATTGTGACTACAAGGGAGAATAGTTCACTATCTTTTACGGTTTCAATTCTAAGTGCTACAAACTACACTATTTGGGCTGTGAAGATCAAAGCAATTTTTAATGTTAATGGGATTTGGGAGATGATCGATCCAGGAACAGAAATCGATCCAAAGAAGAACAATATGGCAATAGCATATCTGTTTCAAGCTTTGCCAGAAGAGATCGTACTACAAGTTGGTCAGTTTACGGAAGCAAAAGAAATTTGAGATGCTTTGAAGACTCGCTTTGTTGGTGTTGACAGGGTTAAAGCGGCACGATTACAGACACTTGAATCAGATTTTGAGACTCTAAAGATGAAGAACAATGAGTCACTTGATGATTTTGCTGGTAAAATTAGTCAACTTGCAATACAAGCAAACAACCTTGGGTCTGCATTTGAAGACAAAAGATTGGTTTGAAAGCTTTTGGGTTCTGTGCCTGAAAAGTTCATATAAATCGTTGCTGCAATTGAACAGTTTGCTGACATTAACACAATGCCGTTTCAAGAAGCGGTAGGCAGATTGAAAGCATTCGAGGAACGCATCAGAAAGCCAACTGAGGAAGGAGATACGCATGGTAAACTACTATTCACTAAAGGTGATGGAAAAGAGAAGGTTCGGGAGCAGAAATGTGAGCATTGTGGTTGCTGGAGCTCAAACCGAGAAGACTTTGGACGTGGCCGAGGTAGAGGTCGGGGGTCTGGGAAAGGTCAGGATGGTGGTCGGTTTCAACAGGATAAGAGTCACATTAAGTGTTTCAAGTGCAATGAGTTAGGACATTTTTTGAACGAATGTCCAAAATGGGATCAAAAGGAAGACATTGCAAATTTGATTGAAGATGATGATGAACCAACGTTACTATGAAGATTGGTGTGAACAAACAACGATTAGGGGGGTGATTGTTAGATTTAATCGTATTGTTTAATTCCTGGCCATAAGTTGGTTTAGATTTGAATTTTAAAAATAAAAGGGACAGTTTTTGGGTAGTTATTTCTGGAAGTTATAGGTAGTTATTTCTAGAAGTTGTATTAGTTAGTAATAGATGTGTTGATTAGTACCAACAGTTGTGTTGGTTGCTGTCTATAAATACTCCAGGAACATAGAATTCTTGTATGTAGTTCACAATAAAAAAATCAGAACTCTATTTTGCATTTGATTTGTTCTTCCTATTATTTTCCAACAATTTTTGGGGTCGGACTGGGATATGGGTTTATCGTGGGTTTGAGTTATAGAAACCATCAATTTTTCGAACATAGCAGAGTGACTCGATCAAATGAATCAATGTCATTGGATTACAGTTGCTTCTATTGTCCCCAGCCGGAATCGGCCCGTTTATTCTTTTTTAGTTGACCATTATGACTATCTTCATACATGAAAAATGAATGAAGTACAATAACTTTGTTACAATTTCATTTGATAATTTATCAGGTGGGAGAACTGGCAGGCATTGCAGTTGGAGCTACCGTTATGCTGAACATCCTCGTAGCCGGGTGAGCATAATAAATTTCGTAATGACATGTTTGGAAATTTGGATTTGGATTTGATTCAAATTCTATGTTTCGGAAACTTCAAAAATTTGTCTTTGAGTCAAATTTCGACCCTTTTCATTCATAACAAAACTCAATTTGAAATCCATACACCCCTCTTCTCATTTAAAATTCAAGAATTCAAATTTTTGAATTGAAACGAAATGCTAGCTCCCAAACATAACCTAAGTAAATTACAAATTTGTAAAATGTGGTTGTTTTCATCTCCTATGTAATACCAAAACTTGGTAATTAATTCGATCAATAATAATGGTGGTTGCGTGCAGGCCGTCGAGCGGTGGTTCGATGAATCCAGTGCGTACACTTGGGCCGGCAGTGGCAGCCGGGAACTACAAGTCAATATGGATATACCTCGTGGCACCCACACTCGGCGCCCTCGCCGGAGCCACCATCTACACGGTGGTTAAGCTTCGAAAAGAGGATGCACCCGTCAGCCACCCCAGGAGCTTCCGTCGCTAGCTAGCTAGCTAATTATCAGGCCGCTCCCGGCATATATCCTTCGGATCGGAAAAGCATATTGTAAATATATAATAATATTATTATTATTTACCATCCAGTGACTTCAGGTTGTGATTCCTACCGGTACGTTGTGCATGCTAAGGTATGTGTCGTCGTCCTCTAATCAGAATAAATTTGCATGACAACACCATCATGTAATCGTGTGTCAATAATGAAGTGCAGTGTGTGTGCTACATACTCAAACTATTCACTTGTGAGATTCTGTGATATATTATACTGTACTCTATGTATGTAAATTGTGTTTCCAAATTGTCGACTTCAATTTACCTAGCCTGTGTTAATTTTTCATCCATCATATATACTTAGGCTGCTAGGGATGGTTATCGTGTTCCGGACGGACACCTAGGCTTCCCACCGCCACATCAAAGCCTTCTCGTCCGAGAGGTGTGGTTGCCCAACGCCGGAGTGGGGGGGGGGGGGGGGGGGGNCTGAAAAAGGCGTGAGGGAAGAAGGGGATGATATGATAGTCTCACCAACCCCGCGTCCCGTGTGAACGGGGGCGGTGCCCGCAGGGTACAGCTGCCACGCGGCTTCCTCTTCTCCCGTGACCATATTGCCTATGCCTTGCAATGAGATTAGGAATGAATTTATAAAGAGGATTTTACCTAAATAGCACTAAAATATAATGACTTTTCATAAATAGCATCATATGTTTTTATTTCCTAATGTAGTATTTTTAGTCATTATTCAAGTAAATGTTCACCATCACTGGATATTTTTCCTTTTTCTAGACATTATTAAGTGTTATTTAAAAAAAATAAAAAAGTTTAAATGGTACATTGGGAAATGACTTATGTTTCAGTGCTATTTAGTACAAATGTTTCAAAATTTGTTTCAATCAAGTTGATAATTCGTTGAATCACGAAAGTGAATTGAATTATGTATAATTTGGGTAATGAGTAGGGTATTTATAAAGAAATATTTGCATTAAATAACACTAAAACTTAAGTCGTTTCTTTAAATAACACTTAAGCTATTTTATTCCTTAAATAGCACTTAATAATGTCCAGTGATGGCGTATATTTACTTGAATAATGACTAATGGATAATGACTAAAAGTGCTTCATTGGAAAAAAAACACACGTGTTGCTATTTAGGGAAAATCATTATCTTTTAGTGTTATTTACGTAAATTTCCCATTAATATATATTACTATGTAAGAATTAAGACTAATCATAAATAAGAAAGAGACGAAACTATATGAATGTCTTGTATGTTGTGTATTTGATCCCTTCTCTTGGTGTGGAGAGAGTGTTTGCAAAACATAAATACGTTGGGTAGTTATGATCCTCAAATCGTGGAGCAAATTTGGATCCCTTACTTAACCAAGCATTATTGCTCGCTACGTCATTCAACCTCTCCGCAACGGTTCTCGATTCGGCATCAAGTTACACACATCCCATATAACGCGAGATTTCACCTTGCTTTTGTGTCGGGCCCCACGCGCCATATCACACGGTTGTTTAGGTTTGGTGGACCGAGCTCCCCACCCTAACTAAAATAGTGGCAGTGAATTGAAGACTCTTCAAAGAGTGGTGCCAATAATGACGAAACCAAAACCTCACAAGTCACAAGCCCGCTGTAGGGGTACATTAGTTATAAGAGGTCAAGGGCAACGCCCATAAACTTTTTTCTTTTTTACAAACACAAGAAAAAAAGATAAAAAAAATTAAAATTTTTTATGTCTAACGCTCAAATAATTCAAATAACATAATTAAATTGCATTTTTAATAATTATAACAATTATTAAAAATGATTATAATAGCAAAAACTGAACCTAGTACACATTGTATGATTATAGTAGCAAAAACCGATGTCAAAGCCGTATTTTTTTTAAAAAAAATTAGGCTTTGGCATCGGTTGTTTCTAAACAACCGATGTCAAAGCCCTTTAAAAAAAGAGGTAATTTGATGCATTAATTATTTTAAAATACAAAGTTATAATATCCCAATACATATTTATCAAACCAAACAATAAGTTAGCACATCTTGCTTTAACTCTACCACAAGTACTTCCCAATCCAATCCTACTTTTCTCTATTTTCCCATACTTGAATTTCTTTATCTGAGTAAAAATAACAATTCAATTTCAGTTCAACACTAGTAAATCATTACTCTTTCTCTTTTAATGGAACAATTAAAATAAAAAACGAAAAGAGTAATAACTTGGCTTACATACAGTTGCTTTGGTACAACTAAGGCTTCATTCCGATCAACTTATTTTTTCTGATCTGATCTGATTTTAATAAGTTCTGATCTGATATGATCTAATTGGATCTGATCTGATTTTAACAAGTTCTGATCTGATATGATCTAAATGGATCTGATTTGATTAGATCTGATCTAATCTGGACTGATATGATTGGATCTGATCTGATCTGATTGGATCTGATCTGATCTAATCTCGTCTGATCTGATCTGATCAATTATGATTTGATTTAAAATCCAAATCAATAATTTGATTTGACTTTATAATAATGTTTGAAAATTGTAATGATAATTCATATTATAATATAATCAATATTTTTTATTTTATGATTATTTTTTAATAAAATAAAATTGGTTAATTCATATATTAGAATAATCATTCATATTATAATGTAATAATATATTTTATTTTATGATTATTTTTTTGTGAAATTAGAATATTAATTTAATATTTTAATAATTACTTCATATATACATTAGAATAAATATTTAATTCATATGTACATTAAAAAGTAATTAAATTTAGATAATTAATATATAGAAGAGATAGTATTTTTATTAAAATATTTCATCCTTATAAAAGATCAAAACTTTTGAAACTCAAATTACAGGTAGCAATAAAAATGTATTTTAAAAGTAGAATTAGATTGACATTGTCAATGTATTTTAAAAATAATTTTTCCGACATCTAATAATTAAGGATTACTTTCTCAGTTTTCTATTTAACTTGTTTCTAAAGTTTATTATTTTTCATTTTTAAGAATAATAATATAAATAATAATAATAATAACAATAATAACAATAATAGTAACAATAATAATAATAATAATAATACTAATAACAATAATAATTCTGGATGGGATCTGATCTGGCATGATCTGATTGGATGTGATCTGATCTGATTGGATCTGATTTGATTTGATTTGATCTGATCTGATTTGATTCAATCTGATCTGATCTTATTCAATCTGATCTGATCTGGTCTGGTCTAATCTGATTTTAATAAGAATAAAAAAAATAAGAAAAAATAAGTAGAACGGAACGGGGCCTAAACCAACGGAGCCTTAACTTTGCTCCTTTATAGAATCTCGAAAAATGGGAGGACATGCATATTGAGGCTATGATACATGGGCTTGTGTTCTTCATTGTTCACCTTTAGAAACATTGCATTCCGGTTTGCTTTAGCCAATTGACATATCTCCTATTGCAAGATTAATAGTCAACAAACACATTTCATATCGAAAAAAACAAATTTGATAGAGAGAAATCATACCCATGGTAATATTAAGAATAAATTTCCTAATTTTTTTAAAGTTAAGTAATTACATGTACAATACAGATAATAGGCATCTAAAGTTGGCGTTTCCGCCTACATTTTCTTCCTGTCCAAATTTGGCTAAACCATTATATCAGTACAAAAGTATAAAATCAGATGAAATATTAAAACGAGCAATATAATGGAACTTACGCTATAGTTGTTAGAGAGTATAGACCTGAGGTGAGGTATCAGCGACTTCTATTGCTCACCAGTCTTTCCATTAACTCCTGCGTAAATCAAAATCAACAAAAAAAGAAGCAATTAGCTTTTCTTTTGGAAAAAGGTCCAAAACAACCAATGATATCTCTTTTATCTTCTGTCACAATCGCTCAATTTATGGACACCCTGATCATTATATGTCATCAACATTGTAAACATTTGTTTAAACAATAGTAAGCCTAGCTTAAAAAAAGATTAATAGTAATCGGGTTAATTTTATTTAGACAATAATAGTTAGTGTTATAAAAGTAGGCAATTTCTCATGTTACCTAGAAAGTCAATGATGATAATAAAATTCATTCTACAACCTAAAGAACAGAGCATTACACACTCAATAGAACAAAAAAACGACACTCAAAATGTTTCTACATTAAAAAAACAATTTCTACTTGTAAGATAGATGACGGTTTTTAGATTGAGAAAGAGATCAAAGATTAAGACAACAACAAAAAAAAGTATCAACAGGAGAACATTTTATTCTTCAAGTTTCCATCAAAGAAATAGCCCAAAACTCGTGTTCGTTTCTAAATACAAGAAATGCAAGCCACTAGAGAGTCACAAATATAGTGGCTTCAAAAGAAACTAACCAAAAGGCCTAGAAAACTCAGCTATAAGTGCAGAAAACACATTAAGAAAATTGAGTTGCACCAACAGGTGACAAAGCAGCCATAACAATACACTGTGGGCACATAACTATACACTATGGGCATGCTTCAAAATTACATTAGCAATTAAATTAATTATAATGAGTATTAAAACATTCAGTGGCAGATCCAGAATTTTTTTTCACCGGGGGCAAATTTGGTTAGCATAAATATAACAAAAATAAATTAAAATAAAAAAACTACGTAATTAAACTAAAACAAACATACATTCTATAATTATTCTCTACGAGTTTTCATTTTTTAAAAAGAATTTTCATTTGTTGAAAACGATCAATTACATCTACATTTGCAAAATATTAAAAAAAAATCTAAAAAACACTTCGTACAAGTCATTACACTATTTTAGCATTTTTAAAACCATAATTTCACAAAATAAGCTTTGTAAAATATCAACCAAAGATTCCTAAAATTTTTAAACACAATTTATAGCGATAATTTGCTTTCTTTACTCCTATAGTCCTATCTTATTCCCTAACAAATTCAATTGTCAACAATGTCAAACTCTATGATGGATCTTAAATTCATCATGGATCTACATATGAGGTAAATAAATAGATCCTAATTATCTATATGAGCATTTGTTTTAATAAGAGATAAAATATAAAAAATGAATTTTTATGTGAATGGTGTACAAAAAAAGAATGCACCCAAGGTACACCATAGAAGCACTCGTCAACAATTGTTAACACAGTAACACATGAAGAAGAATAATTAGAGAAGAGATTTACTTTATTTTTTGCCCTCAGTGAGAAAAAGAAACCTAGCGGGGTCATTTAAAATCTATATGGAAAAGAATTATTAGTAATTAGTCTTTATTGCATTTGGAAAGTTTTTTTTATTGGATTTGGTTAGGTAAATTT